CACGATGCAATCGCACTAGAATCGCTCACTCACGCAATTGGATGATCACTATCAAGCATATGTGAGTTAGAGGGCTCCCAAGCACTCTCAAGCATGGACACAAAGCCCCCCGAGGTGCTCAGCAACTAGCCCAAGGCCGAGACCCCTTCTATTTATAGTCCCCACAAAAATAGAGCCGTTGTACCCTTTCACTGGGCACAGCTCGGGGTGACCGGACGCTCCGGTCGTTTCGACCGGACGCACCCTGCCCGCGTCCGATCAACGGATGGTTGCCATGTCATCCCTGGCTTCAAATACTGAGCGCTCGATCTCAATGGTTAAGTTGCGACCAGACGCAGCACAGTGAAGGACCGGACGCTGCTATGCCTTAGTCCAATCGTTTCCAGAGAGCTCCCCGAGCCTCGGTTTTGCGACCGGACGCGTCCGGTCCATCATGACCGGACGCAGATCAGTGTTCGATCAGTTCTGCGCCCGTGCACCTAACTCCAGTACTGCCTACGTCACCATACGTCAGCACTGACCGGACGCATCCCCTGAGCATCCGGTCACTCTTCGTGCCAGCGTTCGGTCACGCGATCGAGATCGTGCGCTCACTGTTGCCACTGACCGGACGCAGGACCCCAGCGTCCGGTCACTATGTGACCAATGTCCGGTGCACTCTATGAAACCCTGTCTTTTTCTGTACAGGACGCCGGTGGCACTGTCGGACTGTCCACACTCAACGGGCGGACACTCCACTGATGAAGTTTCGAACCCTTCTCGCCTCCGTTTCATCACCGAGTTGATCCACATCAACTCCAACTTCATCTCCTTTGTAAATGTGCCAACACCACCAAGTGTACACCACTATGTGTATGTGTGTTAGCATTTTTACAATCATTTTTCAAAGGATTAGCCACTCAACTTGCCACGCCACTCGATCCTAGCGACGATGCAAAGTTAGATCACTCGAGCGACACTAGATTACCGATATGCAAACAAGTTTGCCCCTCTTGATAGTATGGCCATCTATCCTAAACCCGGTCATCAACTTCTCTACATGCCTATGACCGGTGAAATAAAATGCCCTAGGTTATACCTTTGCCTTGCGTATTCCATTTCATCTCCTCCATTGTTGATGCAACACATGCACCAACACGATCAACAATGATATGATCCACTTCATATCATCACGTGATTATATTGGTTCATCGATCTTGACTTTACTCGCTTTTCATCGTTGCCTTCGTCCATCGGCGTCAAGTCTTGCTTAAGCTTCACTGCCACGCGGTCCATCGCTCCAAAGCCCCTGACTTGCCCTTCACTCTTGCAACTGGTCCATCAAGCCAAGTCTTGTCATGATCTTCTCCACCTTGATCACATGACTCAATGTCATGTCTCATGTGCAATGAGGTCCTTCATCATTACATGTGTGAGCTTTGCAACATCTTCGAGCCATTTCCTCCTTCATGGCATATGTTGCTCACACACATATACCTATGGACTAATCACCTGTGTATCTTACATAAATACAATTAGTCCACCTAGGTTGTCACTCAATTACCAAAACCACACAAGGACCTTTCACTCTTCCGAGTATCAGCTTCCAAGCGAGGAGAGGTGCTGATCATGCAGCGTATGGGCTACACCAAGGATCCATCTGTGCCATCTGCTTCAGAGTTGGAGGCCTTTGACAGGCTCTTCGACGGCAACCTAACTGCGTCCGAAGCCGAGGCGCTGAACGAGCTCTTCCCGGCCATTGGAAAGGCACCGTCTAGGCAGCCGCGAAGACGCAAGGCCACCTAGACCACAAAGCTACGTTAATATTGGTTGTTTCCTTTTATGTAATATCGAAACATGAGGTTTTTTTGTTAGAATGGTCCAGCTTCGGCTGTGTTAGATCAACCTCCTTCGGCGCTCGATAGAAGCGCGTTGTATGTTTATTTAAACTCTTCTCCTTAGTACAATCATACGCAAATCTTTTGCGTATTCGAGAAAAAAAAAACTTCGCTCAACAAGGAACTGATCTAGGAAATGTGTTTGGATCATACCTTGCCAAACCGGCTCTCCAGGACTGGCAATGTTCCCGTCGCTTTGTGCCGTCCAGGCCAAGCAAGGCCAACACGGAACCAAACACGCCTTTTTTTTTTCTCCTACGAGAAGCCGAATCTCGCTCGCACGGCATGTATGCAAGAGAATCAAACCCGCAGGCTTGCTCGCAGTTCATTCGGCAAGGCAACACAGTGCCGGAAAAAGAAACCAAACACGTTCTTAGTTTTGCCCTAAGTAAAATTCTCTAAATTTAACCATATTTATTGAAAAAATATATGAACATCTATAATAATACCAAATAAATGCATAATGCAAGCACGTTTAATGGCAATGTAATAAAAACACGTTATCACATTTTGGAATGGAGTACTACTTCATCCCATAAAAAGAGTAGGGCATGTGCCGGTCAAACTTTCTTAAATTTTACTATATTTACAGAAAATATTAGCAATATTTATATCTCTAAATAAATCAACGATCTATCTAATGATACTAATTATGTATCATACATTAATATATTTATATATATATATATATATTGAGTCAAAGTTTAAGAAGTTTGTTTTCTCGGGGAGCGAGAATGTCACTTTTTATGGAACGGAGGGAGTACAGCAGAAGCTAAAGGACTTTTGCACAACAATTCTATTTTCGTCTTAAAGCCTGTTTGGATCCCTTGGGCTAACAACTCGTTGCTAAACTTCCATGGAGGATCCAAATAGGAGGACGTATTGATGGATGGGCTAAAGTTTAGCCAAAGTCTTAACTAGTTGTTACATAGAACTCAACTATAAGAGGATAAAGTTTTACCCAATTAAAAAAAGACACCCATTACCCCCTACCCCCACACGACCCTATCCATGAGTCTTTCGTTTCCCCTCCTTCGTCCGCCTGCGTGGCATCGCGTCCGCCGCCGCCACATTTCCTCTCCACGGTGGCGGCCTTCAACGCGCAGGACAATATCTTGTCCTCTTCTGCAGCGAGTTGTGCGTCCCGCAGATGCACAGCCTGCGGCGCAGCCAGATCTCAAAGGCGCTGGTCGGAGCAAGTGGGTCGGGGAAGAGCATCGTCATCGTCATCGCCCTCATGAGCATTTCTACAGCCCGCTCGCTGGGAAGGTGATGATCTGTGGCAAGGACATCCGGCGGCTGAACCTCAAGTCGCTACACCTCAGGATCGGGCTGGTGCAGCAGGAACCCGTGCTATTCGCCACCAACATCCTGGAGAACACCAGTTTTTTTCCCCCGTTAAGAGTACATACCCTCCTATTGTGCACCATCACACATCTTAATGCGAAACGTACGGTGCACCATGCGAGGGCACGTGCCCCTAGGGGCAAACTTTACTTTCCCGCCAAGGTGGCCAACGTGCACGGCTTCGTCAACGCGCTCCACGACACTGCGGACTGCAGTAGTACAACGATGCTTGAAACACTGGCTGGAGTGCAACCATCGCTCAAGGCTAGCTCAAATTTTCATGGCTCTGATTGCGAAGCCGTACATCAGACGCCGCCGCTGCCCCGGTCGTAGCACAGTACTGTACTCCGTACTCCGTAACCCGTCAGCAGTGCAGCCTTGGTCCTTGGCTCCAGGGAACCAGGGATCAGGGTCAGGGTGACTGCCAACAAGCTCATCAAAATAGCACTCTGCAACTTCGTTAATATTTTTATCTGCCACTGCAGTGATAAAACCTTCGGCGGTCCATTGGCCATTGCTTCATCAAATCAACCTTCATGGATGTGTACCCTTCATGATAGAAACTAATTAAGATATTAGATATGTCTTCACTTGTTGCGGAAGAGTACAATAGCTGAGCCCTATTATTTCTCTTAACAATTCTTTCGAAGATAGATTATTTCTGGAAGATAAGAATTCCTTAATATGGGACCACAACTCTGAGCTTTTTGGTTGACTTGCCAAAACACTAGCGACGATAATGATTGCTAGTGGCAAACCACTGCATTTTCTTATGATATCTTCTGTATATTTCTTCAGGTGTTCAGAGAATTCAGTCTTGCAGCCTACTTTGTTAAAGAACAATTCCATGGAGTCATCTGTGCTCAGTGGCTCCATCTTTAAAATGCCTACTTGGGCAAGGAAATGAGAGTCCGAATCCAACTCAGGTGCCCAATTCACACTTGCATTAGTTAGATAATCACAGCACTCCAGAGCAACTTCCTCAATATCCGTTGTTATTAATATTCTACTACCTTGAGTACCCTCCGGAAAAGACAGGGTCTCAGGGATCGGAGCAATACGCGAGTACGCGACTCATCAGCTTCCATGGCTCTGGCTGCTGCAGCGCGCGGCGAGTCTATACGCCTTTTTCTTCCAGGCCGGCAGGCCCCCCGGCGCGGCCCGATCCCCGCCGCTGCATTTTTCGGCGCACCGCTCTCCGCTGCTTGCGTACGCGTAGCTGCCGGCGAGGCCTGCAGGCTGCGGACGCCACGCCAGCCAGACGGTGCATGTGTAATGTACGCCTTGAACTGTCTGTGCCGAGCGGTGATATCGATGCTGTACAACTCCAGTTCTAGTTTGTCATGTACTTTGTGCTATACACAGAGTTCTGTAGCTAGACGAGAACTCCTCTCTCTCTAGCAATTCATCTTTTCTTCAGGACTCATCTGTTGCACAGCACAGTTGTACTCCGATCTTGGCCGAACTGTAAAGCAGAAAGGGATCCAGATGATATCCTACCCAATCCTTGGTTATCTGAACTAAAATGTGTTGACAAGCGTCTTGTTTGCCCAGTCTGAGCCCCCTTCTTTATTAATATAATATAATCGGGCGGCTCTCCTGCCTGAGTGGCTGACTCGTAAAAAAAAATACTGTTGCACTGGAGTTCATCCAGGCGTTTGGGGCATATACAGAACAGGTTTGAGCAGGACAGTAAAGAAGTCTGAACATATTTGCTCATGAAGTTCAGATGGAGAACTGATTAGTAGCCCATATCCATCCCATTCACCCATATAATCACTTTGTGACTACTTCCTCCAGCTCTCTGAGGCCCCCAACCCTCTGCTCAATCTCCTCGAGCAGCTCCTCCCGCAGCAGCTCCTCCCTCGCAGACGCCTCCAGGTCCTCTTGCTGCCGATGAACATTGCACAGGATATCAGTGAAGTTACCTGTGGCTAGGCTAACTGCTTTGATTCTTCAAGCAACCGGCCTAAGAAAAGGAAGGCACATACAGACACTGTGCGTGCGTGCGTGCGTGCTTACCCTATCGTAGTACCAGTGCACGGTTCCATCTCCACCCGCGCTCCTGTACGTGTCGCTGTCGTAGAAGGGATCCTTTTTTGATTTAACCCACAAGCTAAGGCGTGTCATGAACGCTCCAGGAAATAATGCTTGGTGATGGTTTGAACATTGGAATCACATGCATGGTGTGTGTTAGTAATGCGTGCTAGCTTGCCTTCATAGACGCAAAGAAGCAGACGCCCCACACCGTGAACATGGCGTAGAAGGTATCTGCGCGCGATCGATCGATCGAGAGGGAAACGGTCAGTGGTTTCAGATCAAAGACGACGGTGGGAGCTGAGGACTCACAAACGCTCTTGAGGGCTGCGTCGCTGAGATGCCAGATGGACTTGGTCACGACGTAGTCCCGCGACATGTCCACGTGCTCCACCATCGTCACCATCAGCGGCACCACGTCCAGCGACGGGAAGGCGCTCACCTTCGCTGAGCCGGATCTCTGCAACGCATGCAACACAGCAAGATCCATAGATCTGATCAACATTATTGATGAACCATCAATGCAACTGGATTCATGTCATCATGTGGTCTCATGGTCATGGGTACTATGGTAGCAACGCTAATGTAACACAACATAGTATTGCGCTGGGTTAGTCGGTTTCTTCAGATTTCAGAAAGGGCCTGCATAGAAGCATAGGCAGTAGCAGTGACACAGTACTCTGTTTATTCATATGCTTTCGCATCTTTACCATCTGTCAGCACGAAAGCACGCCATTTTTTTTATGCAACGCTATTGGCTTGCCTCGAATTTACGTGAACATGAACATTTCTTCGTATTTTTCGTTTCAGGATAAGAGATCATGTACTGTACCTTAGGACGGCCGGACCTGCTGCACCCGTGGTCATGGAACCTGCCGAGCTGCAGAGAAACAGCATGCATAAAAGTGAAACTTGAAGCAGCCGGAAACACAGTCAGAACAACATGGGATTTGAAAGAGAACGATACGTGCACTGTCGCGGGGCAGCGGCCATGGCGGTCGGCTCTCCTCGCGGAGTGCAGGGCGGCGGCGGCGGCGACGTGAGAGTGTGGCCTGAGCAGTTGCGAGGCCATGGTTGTTCAGCCGCTGCTCTGATGGCTCTGGATGTGAGACTGGGCGGATGACTCATGTTTGTTTGGTTCGCTGATCTACCTGTAGGACGGGAGTTTCTTCAGTGGATAAGGTGGGTAATGGGTGGCCTGGACGATTTTCTCCAATCTCCATCTTGGGCTGACGTAAGAACAGAAGCTTTGGGGCTAAAAAAGGGAGTGAAGTTTTCAAATTACGAAATAATTGCTGGGGCTGCTGGCCTAATTACTAAAACCTTGATACATAAACATCTGGAATTTGCATGTTAATTAAGGAACAGTAGTCAAAATGAAGCATCAGAAAAGATTGTGTATTTGAAGCCACCTATTGTGTATTTCATACCGCTTATCTATTAGCTACAAGGCAAAGTTCAGCTGTGTGTTCAAGAAAAAAAAAAATTTGCAGCACTAACTTTTCTAACAAAATTTACAGTAATTTTCAAGTGTTGCAGGAAAATACAAAGAATGCACAATTAACAAAGCCAAATTTCTTTATTTCAGTCCATTTATGTCAGTGGATGGCTTGGCATAGAGAGAGGAGTATACCTCAGTTCTAAACTCTTCCAGAGCATCACTCGACATATCCTGTTGCAAGAACTTCTTGACTGCAACTTCCTATAGACAAACAAATTTGTGATTCTGTAAACAACTTGGTAGCAGCGAACAAAGCAAAGAGAAAAGAAATACAGTGAAATAACAAATGAATAGCTAGAACTTCAGAAGACAGAATGCAACAACGGGTGGATCATTGTTTTCTTTTTTCAAAAATAAGAACTACTGACGCCAAAAATGTTCTAAACCCTGTTAGTCCAAATGATGCTAAGGCCTGTCACTAAGATATATGAAGTCACCTAAAGTTGTAGGGAAAACATAAAGCAGCAGACAGAAAATGTAGGTGCAGTTCAAGTCAACAAATAAAATATTCTCCTTTTCGTTACAAGATTAACCGTTTCATGGTATAAATGGAGAAAATCCACCAAGACTATGGAGTATTTCATTGGCTCATTGCCTTTTATTAACTGGTTTTTCTCATTACTAGATGTCTGTAAGATTGGCAAGTAAAGAGGTATTGTATTTCAGTGTTGGCACAGATAATGTTGTGATATTATCTAAATTAGCATTTCTTCACATCCTTAGATCAGTATACCAAAAGGGTTGGCTTTACTTCAATAATTTTTTTCCAATAGCACATTTAGAAGTTGCTGACTCAAAAGATAAGCAAGGAATCTGTTGACTGAAAAACTTACTGTTCCATGCTCCAAATTAACGATCCTGGAACATAGCAGGTTGAATTGAATTTAAAAAACATGAAATATGTTTTTTAAAGAAAAAGGATCAAACAAATAATTTCCCACTGTCAATGAAATACTAGTATGATTAGGAAATCATTTTCATAGATAATCAAATAATAAATCAACTTTACCAAGGCCAATCCGTTCACCAATAGCAATTTCTTCCCACTGGATCTCAAACTCTGCAACATCTTCCAGAGCAAGATCAGGTTTAGCACTCTCTGTCCCACTTGATTTATTTGATTTATCAGAGGTTCGTTCAGCATCCTGATGAACTTCTTGGTCCAGAGAATTACCTTGGCCATGATCAGTTTCAATTTCAATGTGGTGTTTGTCCCAAAGGTCATCTCCAGCTTTCTCAACTGATTCATTTCCTTGATAGGTGGACGAGTTGTAAAGCAATCTTTCGTGGTCTATCTGTGACAGATGAATCGGGACCGGACAAATTTGCAAGGTACATGGTGACAACCCACGAAGGTGACAAATAGTTTTCTTGGAGGGCAAATATAATGTGTTTTATGATTGAGAGACTGAAGATGATAGTCCTATGGGGCGAGAGGTGATGACGGGTCCTCTCCCTTCCGCTTTTTTTTTTTTTGCTTGTTTTCTTGTTTTCTTTACGTCAGTGTTGGGGCTCTTGGTAATCTTAGGATTACCGGGATGCTTGTTATTGTAACTGTTTAACAACATCTACTTTCTTTTAATGAAAAACGGGCTAAATGCCCGATTGAGAAAAAAAGAGGTGATGACGGGACTAGTTATTGCGACATAGGAACATGAGGTTTGGAGGGGGGCTTTGTTCCCTGTGGGATAATGACACGTAGCGCAAGTTCAGTATGCTGGTTTGCATTGAAGGGTAAATCAGCAAGGGCGTGAATTAACTTGAGTTGTAGCTTGTGGGTTTTGGAGTATGGCTCGAATTGCATATAGAAGTTTCAAGATCAAAATCGAAAGGTAAAGGCTACATATGTATAGTTGCAACTTGAGTAATCTAGTTGCTGCTCTGGTGGTATGAGCTTATAAGGTAGGGTAAGATGTTTGATGTAATCAAGCAAAAGCAGCACAATACTGATGTGGAAATTTCTAAGTGTGGTTCAAACAGTCATTGTTCTCAATTCAATATTGAGTAGTCAACTAGACCTTGATGAATATGTCATATGTGTGAAATATCATATATGAGTCCTAAATTCCTAATGCATTGCATGGGACATAGAATTCGTGTCAGAACTCTTTTAACCGGGCCTCTTCTATGATAATGTACCTCTAAGGTTGTTAGAGTACTATGACAAACTGGTAACTGTGTTGTGGTTTTATATACTCCCTCAATTCTAAATTATAAGTTATTCTAACTTTTTTGGAGAGTCAAAGCATCTCAAGTTTGATCAAAATTAAAGAGAAAATTACAAAGATTTATGACATCAAATAGGTATACTATGAAAATATAATTAATAAAAAATCTAATGATACTTAGTTGATATCATAAATGTTTGCAATTTTCTCTAATACTTTGTTCATCCTAAATTTGGTCCAACTTAAGATACTTTGACTCTCTAAAAAATTGGAGTGACTTATAATTTAGGATGAACAGAGTATATACAAAGAATAAGGTTTCGAGTGAAGCTCTAGAAAATTGTGTTTTCCTTATATATACGAAGCAGCTAGCGCCCGGACGTCCGAACGGACGCCGCGTCTGGATGCAGCTCACGTGCCCGCGTCCGTTACCGTTCGGCGGCCCTTGGCTGCACCCAAAAAGTCCCATCATCGTCGGGCCAGTATCACCCAAGGCATCCCATCCCCGCCGTGTCCTCGGCCTCCATCTTCGCCATCGACACATACGCCAGGGAGCTGCAGCAGTCAGCCTTCTCCGTGTCTGCGGGCCTCACCGAGGCGTCTACCACGCCTCTCGCGCCACCGTGGAAGTCCAGTCTCCACCTGCTGGTGACCACGCCGTCATCGCAGGAGGTCCCCTTCGCCCTTGTCCGTCGTGGCAGACTAGCAACCGCCACACTGCTTGGGCAGCAGCACGACCATCGAGGGCTTGGGTTTCTTCCACGCCTACATTCAGATCTATTTTTGCAACACCCAAATAAACACAATTGCAACATACGTCTGAAACATATGAAACATTTAGAACATACACTTGCAACATAGCCATTACAACATATGCAACATTCAGGTCTACTCTTGCAACATCCAGATGAAACAATTACAACATACGTCTGAAACAGATGAAACATTTGAAACACATACTTGCAACATATGCAACATTCAGATCTACTTTTGCATCACCCAGATGAAACAATTACAACATACATCTAAAATAGATCAAACATTTAGAACATACACTTTGCAACATAAGTGTGTAGCCATTGCAACAAATGCAACATTCAGATCTACTTTTGCAACACCCAGATAAAACACCAGCAACATACGTATGAAACAAATGAAACATTTGGAACATACACTTGAAACATACGTGATAGCCATTGCAACATATGCACCATCCAGATCTCATTTACAACATCCATATGAAGCACTTGCAACATATATCTGACAACACCTGAAACACTTAAAACATCTATTTGCAACATGCGCTTTTAGCGCAACATCTCCTCGCTGCTTGGGCGAATGGAGGCTCGTCGGCGTGTGGAGTGCACCGGTGTAGAGCTCACCGGTGGCGCGGAGCTAGGCGGCGACGCACAGAGGGCAAGGTGGGGGCGGCGCGACGGACGCCCGGACGTAATGGAGAACGCCGAGGTGGCACGATCGTGGTGGAGCCCGATCGCAGCGCGGTTAGAGCTGGGTGGCGGCGCATAGAGGGAGAGGTGGGGGTTACGGCGGTGATGACGCAGTGGGCGGGTGGGATGGCTAGCGGGCGCCCAGACGCCGTGGAGAACACCAAAGCGAGATGGTCGCGGTGGAGCCATCGAGGGCAGTCGCGGCGCGGTGCGGACGTAGCGGATTCGATTGGGGGCATGTGGATGAGCGGAAGTGTTGGGTCGTCGCGGCCCACTAACACGAGGGTCCGCAGGCCGAGGAGGCCGACGTCCGGACGGATGGACCGACGCCTTTGCAGTAAGCATTTCGGTTATATATACGTGATCTTGTTCGTCTTGGTAGATGGTCTTCGCGCGGGCGCATGGGAAATGCATGCATCCCCGCCTGACAATTGGATAAGTTGGTCCGGGCCTGGAACTGGATTCCATGGTTTCCGTCAGTTGGTGCCAATGGCCCCCCGATGAAGGTCCAGCGCGGGAATATGGTGCGGCACGGCAGGGGTGGATATGGATACGTGATACGGGGCACGTCAGCTGGTGTAGTGTAGATGAGGACCACGTCCCCATCTCCTCGCGCGCCAGTGGCGTCTCCGGCGACGCCGACCGCATCAAAGCCAGCCAGAAAGCCAGGGCCTGAGGGGAAGGGGCGTGGCCGACTGGCCGTGGCAGCGCAAAAAAGAAAAAGAAAAATCCGGCCCGGAGCGGGCAGCTAGCTATTGCTTACACGAACGGGCCAAGGAGCCGGGCGGCCGCATCATCTCTCCCCATCGTGGAAATCGCGCGCGGGCGCCGCCGATGGCGTCGCCGTCGGCGCGAGCGACTTTATGCGCCCACCCACACGCAAAAGCACAAGGGTGTGGCGGGGCGGCGACCAGCGACGCCCGAATGGAATGGGCATCATCCGCGGCCGCGTCCC